GGCGAGGTTCCAAGTACGACGACGATAGCACATTGGCCAAGGGCTGGCAGATTCAGGTTTAGGGTTCAGGGTGTCGACTCTCACACTCGCACAAGGCTGGCATGGCTCCGCATAGTTCTGTCTCCACTTCGCTAAGAAGTAGTCAGAAGGCTCTACGACTGCACGCAGGGTTTATTTAGGGTTCAGGGTTCAGGGTTTAGGGTTCAGGGCTTAGGGAGGGTTCAGGGTTTAGGGTTAGGGTGAAGAAAAATAACCCCTTAGTTTAGTAGTCATTGTGGGTTATAGCCCCTAATTTCGATGGTAGGGCCTGCGATTTACAGGTATGCCGAAAGCCCTGCTGCTTAGAGGTTTCAAACTTTCGCAGGCCTTCTACTCGGCGATTCCAAAGACGTAGACTATCAACAAGCCGTAGAAGGCTACGACACACAATGGAATAGGGTAGGGTAAGCAGTAAGGATTGTCAGGGAGACATGGGGTCAGAGGCTTGGGGTGCTGGTTTTATGTTTCTGCAAGGCTCTTGGCATTAGAGGTTCATGGGGCGAGCCTGCAAGATTTCAGGCACAGTTAGCAGCACCGACTATTCACCAACTAACGGCAGCTAACGCCGGTCCTCCAGAAGCATGTTCGGACTCCAGGGCTCGGATCACCGCAGGCAGTGCGGAATTCAGGTCCTGCCGAAGGTGGCGAGGAGGACGGATTGGGTCTTTGCGGCTTCCCAAATCAAGAAAGACTCTGCCAGATTGGACTTGCAGGGAAGCCTACCATTTCGTCAGCCTTATGACCAGTCCTAGGGCCTAGGGACCCAATCCATCAACCCTACAGATCCTAAGCCAAAACACGATTTAGGGTTTCGGGCTTGAGGGTTCTGGGGCCCTTACCTTCGACTCTAGTCGGCCTTGCCAGGAAGTTAAAGGGGAGAAAGGACTTTAAGTATACCACAAAACCCGAGAAAAGGATACCCCTCATGTTTCAGGCCCCTAGATGAAATCTCAACCCTGAGCCGCAGACCCAACTCCCAAACCCTAAACCCCGCATCCAAGGCCCTCTTAAAGCCTAAACTCCAAACCCAACTCCAAGAGCAAAACCGTGGATCGGATAGAGACCCAACCCCCTATGGTGACCCCTGTAATAAAACCACAGAGCACGCTTTGTAACCCTTGTGGCAGCCCGATGACCAGTCGTGGCAACACGGGAGTTTCAGGAAATTAGGGTACCTTATTTTGGGGTCCTTATAATGGGGGTCCTATTATTTAGGGTACTATATTAGGGTCCCCTATTTTCGGAAACCCCCACATTGCTGCAAAGGCTCCCTCGCAGCCGAGAAAAGGTCGCTCCAGGCACCCAGCTTCGAAGCCATGATCCGAAGGAACAAGCAAGGGCTCAACGGCTAACGGCCCCTAATTGAGGAGAAGTGTGGTTCCTTTGGAGGTTATGACTCATGATCCTATTTTTCGTAGCGGTCCCTTCTTGAAGGGTGAGTTCTTAGAGTTTCGGGACGGTGGGCCTGCTGAGAAGGGTTGGAACTTCAAGCTTCTCACTTCCGATCCTTTGTCTTGCCTCCCGGCTGTCTCCGACGGGGGTTTCGAAGGAATGATAAAGGGTTGAAGGCTTCAGGGCTGCAGGGGTCTCAACATGGGCACAGAAAGTTGAAACTCCTACAACTACCACGAAGGGCAAGGCTCCATTTCCAAAGTACATGTCAACGCCTTTCAAAGCAGATACTGCATCTCGAGCCAACACCAGGCATGCGTACCCACCGCCGACGTGAAAGCCCTTATAGACTCAAATCTGGAGCTTGCGATGTCCACCTGCCGCCTTTGTGCATACCCCCCTTCTCTCGCGACAAGAAGTAGAGCAAATTAGTTTCGAACTCTTTCAGTCGCATGCAGAATGCTGCGCCGGAAAGCTTTTGCCGTTGCGTGGTGGATCTGCAAACTTATGATCTTGATTTCGGATTAAAAGGATACGTGAAATTCACTCATAGCTGTCCTAACACAAGCCCGAAAACAGAACACATGGCATCTTAAGGCAATTGCGACATCCAGTTCTGATCTGAGGGGCCTAAGTCTGTTTCGCGACCAACGAAAGGAGTCAGAAGTAATTAAGCCCGAAAGACTGGCACAAGCGATGGTTTAGGGTTTAGGGTTTAGGGTTTAGGGTTTAGGGTTTAGGGGACCAAACACAAAGCCTGTAAGTAATCAACCCCCAAAAGGCTCAAGGGTAAGCAGCTCCAGAGACTCGCCCCGGAAAAAAAAGTATGTAACCAATTGCAACACGTCTCGTAGTGCAGCTGTGCGTAATCCAGCGCCTGTAGCAGACCTCATGGAGTCAGTCTAGAGCTCAAGCGCGGAGTGTGGGATTTAGCTTAGGGCTTAGAGTCTGCGGGGCTCCATAGGTTTGCCCGGTGCACAGCCTTGGGTTTCCTGATGTTTCCTGTGTATAACTAGGAGCTATGAACTGCAGGCTCCAATCTTTCGGATTCAGGAGTGCGGGGCAGTGCGGGGTGTTAAGCTTCACACTTTACACCGAAAACACCTGTTTGCTTTCCCAAAACATGCTTGTGCTGTGGATTTTTTAAGCACGGGCTTGCTGTGGCTTTGCACTTCGAACCCGGCAGCAGCATCCCGCGCCTGCACCCAAGCTCTCCGCCAGTGGGCTGCCCAGCTGATGAGGGGCTGCCTTGATGGCGGCGATCACCACCGCCCGGACCTGGATTGAGGGGTTCAGAACTTTAGCCC